TTTTTTTTTTATATCCAGTAAGGAATGATGGCGACAACTTAGCTGTGTTTTGGCTGCAAAAAATGCAAATATTTGCATCTGAAATTTTCACACCGTTCCCTTTCACTCAGGGCTCGCTCAAGGAATGAAAACAACCCCCTCTTTCTTTGTCGCAGAAGGGAAGTTTAAATCCAGCCCCCTCTTTTACCAGGATGCAGACAAACACGCTGGGCTCTTGCATGAAAGAGCTTCCAGACGTTGGGAACCCACTGTTTAAACTCTACTGCTGTAACGCACATATGGGAATGCCATATTTTAAACAGGTTTGGTTTCTGAAGGCAGCTGTAATCTATAAGATCCCCTTCGCAAAAAACATAAGCTTTGATGTTTAAACATTAAAAAACCGCCAGTACCCAATAAGTGCATGAGGTCATCCCAGCAAGTGCAAATAACAGATTAAGAGAGCTTTAGACACAATCCTGTGTTGGGATCTGAGTCCTGTAGTGGGGACTGATAATATTAAGCAGCTGGGCTGGCATGCAAAGACAATGAAAGCTCAACACTTCAAAAAAACACGTCACTGCAAAACAGTTACATCTGGCAGAAGAAAACACGCCGAATGAAACTGGTCCCACGTGGTGTCTTGATGCTGGTTCAGGGGATGGAAGCTCTCTTTTTCCCCTAGTCTTCCTCCAGTGCAAAATAAGGATTGGTCTGCTTGCGCTGAGAAATGAACAGATTTTAAAGCCAGAGGAGTTGAAACCCGTCGCAGCCTGCGGCCTGCATGTAGCTGTTCTCCTGTGGGCTTGCTGTGGATCAAGGGCAGCTAATAAACAGTTCATTTTTTAATAGCCATGTTGGAGTGTAACTGCATTAACCCGTACACGGACAGCAGTGGGGTGGGAGGTATTTACACACTCTACCATCGGGATCCTTGAGCTCTAATTGACAGAAACAAATGCCTGTCCCGGAATCTTGGAATTCAAATAAGATTTCCAATTAATGCTAACCCATTAATTCTTGGCAATCAGCGGGCGCAAGGCAGGGTACACCCCAGACACCCTGGATGGGACACCAGTCCATCACAGGGCAGACACGCAAACAAACACAGACACGTGCACTCTCACACCAGGCCTGGTATTCCCAGGAGACAGCCTGTCCTTGGACTTTGCCACAGCAATGTGATGTAAAAACATTCGTTTTCCATGGAAATATTCTGGAGGAAAAAAGGTATGAAATTGTTTTCCATGAGCTAGATCTGTTACAGTCGTTAGTGGGGACAGAGTATAAAGCGTTTTATCAGGCTAAATTAAAGTAAGTATAAGGCAGAATGCATTAAACACTGCAGGATACAAAGGAGAAGCAAAAGAACACAATATGTGAAGTGAACTTTAAAATGCCTGAAACTAAACTGTATCTTCTTTTAATCAGGGATGTCCAGTAAAGGTTCTGGAGGGATGGTGTGTCTGCAGGATTTCCAGGTCTCTTTAAATGAGCAACACCCAGAATACTGGGAGAAGTGGTTCAATTGGTCCAGTTAGGGCAGTAACCAGTGGGTTTAGGTTAAGAGTCCATCCGAATTGAGCACCTGCAGCAGGTCACCAGGACTGCCCACCCCTTTACCCAGCTATTCTGGACGACCCAGGCGGTGCCTGTTGGTTTGTGCTCCAGCCAACTTCTTACTCGCCAGCACATCGATGTCAGGGTCAGATGGGACTTGCAGATGGTACCAGCCCTGTCCCAGTTTCTGAGTCTATCAGAACTGTGCTCCTCCAGGTGTGCCACCTGAGATGTATCCAACAGGACCTCCTCAGCAGAAGAAATGCTTGTGTCTGATCGTCATGAATCCATCGAGTATCACGAGCCATTTTCTCAGAAATACCAGCCGGCAGGTTGAGGAGGAACAGTGTGAAGTCCCTTGTGCTAAAGTGTATCCTTGAAGTTGGGAAGTTTTCACACTCAAAACTGACCACAAAAAAAACAAGTTAAATAACAGTTCTGATCAATTAAGTCATCACTCACTGTGGAGTGAAAGACGGTGTGCAGGATCAGGTTTGGGCACCACAGTAGTAGACTGCGAGGAACCCTGTCTTCTGTAAGACACACCAACATTTAAACCACATTGAATACTGTTTGATTGGTTTAATAATAAGTACCTCTAGAGACTGCCACATCATGTCGAGGCTCTGTACAGTACACCAACCAAACAAAAGATTTTTTTAATAAAAAAAGATTAAAATAATTATAACATCCAGAGGGCATTTTGATCATTTGCAGGCTGTAGCTGTTCCTTATAGCAGAGCTGAAAAAAATCAAAGTTTATTTCTCCTTGTATCATTTTGTGTTAGAAGTATCATTTAATGTTAGAATGCAGTTCTAGGCAGCAGGAACTTTCCTGATATCGCATCTCATGCAAGATAATAAGACGATCGTGTCTGAAGGAGCTGCCGTCCCCAGGCAATCGATCTCTTCTGTGTGTGCACAGTTTCTGAGAGTTCAGAAAAATAACAAAGTCATCATGGTGAAAGAGGCACCTTCACAGAGGCCCCATAGAGGCAACAGGGCAGCAGCAGAATGTTCTCATTAAGACCACTAGTAAAAGCCCATCACTTAACTCAATTTCACAAGAGATGCGAAAAAAAATAAACTGATTAAAACAGAGGTACTCAACTGGTGGAGTGTGCCCCCCCTAGGGGGGCATACGAGGATATAAAACGTGAAGCGAGAGAGCTTTTTATATACAACTAATTGTAAATAGTACCTAATTTTTCCAACTATAAGGAAACATGTTTTACAGCAAATTATAAGTAGAAATATAGGACTCTCCTTCTAATCCAGCTTCTCACGATATTCAGTGTTTTAATCACCAATGTGTATTTTTGGCTAACCAGCAAATTCAACATGCATTTTTCAGCATTTTTATTCTGTGTTATTTTGATACAGAGATGACAGAAACCACAAAGTGAACAAACTTCGACGCAACTGCCCAAGACACCTTCCATGAGTTAACTTTGGAGGTGTTTTGGTTGTCTACTTGTCTGTGTACCCCAAAACAGGCGAGCATGCTCTGCACATCCTTGTGGCATTTTCAGCCACCTGTTTGTGTGAGGCTGGATCTTCTGCACTTTGGAGGATCAAAACTAAGCACTGCAACAGACATGATGTTGAAAGTGACTTGCGTTGTGCTCTTTCTTCCCCAGAGCCGAGAATTTCAAAAACTGTGGCAAATATGCAGTATCAGAGCTCACATAGAAATTGTTTAAGGCGGACTGGACTCTTCAGTTAAATAACCTGAAGTTCAAGCATGATCATACAACCTTCACTACTACAAAAATAATTGTCTGTGATTTAAGATTAAGTTCACAAATAGCAATTGAAATTAAATCAGTTTTTAAAATATGTTTAAATAAAATGTTTAACCTATACACAAAGGTGGGGGTGAGGTTTTGTGTTAACTGAAAGAGGGGCATTGTGTGTCAAAGATGGAGAACTATGGCTTTAAAAGATTCAAAGTTGTAATTAGCAAGGTGTTTTAATGCTTTACTGTGATTCACTGGGTCTGTTCAATATACTGTTCAGTGCTGTGAGTAAAGACAAACTTTTGCAACAAATAATGTTTTTGGTTCCTGTCTCTGGAAAAAGATGGTGTTACTGCTGTCAGGAATAGTGGAGAGTAGGCAGAACTAAACTGCGAAATACAAATCTACAGCAGACGTTTACAAAGGAATTTTCTGTGCAAAGGGCACAGTAACATTCTGTCTGTGTTATGGGCAAGGCAAGCCTGTTCATTTGGAGAAAACAAGCAGTTTGCCAGCAGTTTTAATACATACTTTGTGACAGCACTTTCTGATGCTTTTATGTTTGCTTTGTTTAAAGAGGAAACAGTCTTGTTAACCATTACACAGCAGCCTTCCCAAGTCCTAGAGACAGTATATGATCCTTTACAGTCCCTAACCTTGTGGGTTCTGCATTTTACAAGAGCCTCAGAACACAAAGAAGTTAATTCATAAGCTCGGCAACTGATAAGGACAGAAAGTGAAATGGGATCACTAATGAAGTGATCCAAACAAATTAGGATGAGCTACAGGAATACAGTGTATACGCAGACCTCATTGTCCAGGAGAGTATCCATTTTCTTTCATCTTTACTCCATTGCAGCTGTATCAAATTTTGTTAGAATCCCACTGTTTAATAATTATAATAAATATGGTACTTCAGACTAGAACTTAAGATTCAGGTGCTGCCTATCGATACTTCAATATTTTTACTCTATTTACAGTGCCTGATTATTATTTCATTCAATTTACCTACTTTGTAGTTTACAGTAACAGACAATGGTATCAACTCCCTTCATTTGTAACAAAGTTATTCACCAAGTCATTTAGTTTGTATATTTAGTTCATGAACATCTTTGTATTAATAACTGTACTTATCAAGGGCTTCCCTCTGAAGTTTACTGAACAGTATTTTGAAGAACAGAAGCAGCAGTAGTAGTAATCTACTGAGGCCATCCAGGCAGCTAAAGCCACAACACAAGTGTTGCAGAACTGCATTAAACAGATCCTGTATTTCATCTGTTCTACTGCACACTTTTCTGTCTTTTCAAGGCGATTTTTTGAGATCGTCTCAGAGGATTTCGCCTTTGCTGCCAAAATATCTCTACAGGTGGGTGTGTAGAGACCTTTAGTCACATTTAACAGCAGATCAAGATGGCAAAAACATGCCGTTCACAGATCACAGATCTGGTGCTTTCTTAAATTACACTCACTAATGAAACTCAGGCAAACAGTCGATTACTTAGGATAAATAAACAGCTTTTGGACTTTGACGTGTACAGTCCAGTGTGAGTGTTTGTTCAGAGAAAGAGCAGAGCGCCAGTGTTTTATGAAAGCCCTCTGCCCGCCTGCCCCCCCCTCTGCCAGGGTATCAACACGTGGCAAGCTGACGATTTACAGCTGGCTGTTATTTGCTCAGGCTTGAAGCCTCCAAGTGGGCTCAGCTCCCCTGCGCTGGACCCGGCCGTGCAGCTCCAGGGGTGTGGAGTGCTGTCACATGGGGTCAGGAGCCTGGGCCCACCCAGAATGTGAGTCGTCAATCATGCAATACAAGCAGCAAGATAAGGCCGGAGTGGGGAATGCCTTTCTCTTCAGAGTTAATCTCCCGTTTAACACCGCTCTCTGATAGCGAACAAGTATTTTCTTGATCTGAGATCATGATTCTGAAAAGCCGGCCTTCACAGAAAAGGCAGAGATGGGGGCATGCCGTGCAGGGGGTTGTGTTTCATGAGCAGAGGCAGGCCAGCCCTGTAGGTCCTGTGGTGCACTTTATCACCACTCTTGTTGCTTGTGAATCTGTGCCATGGGGGTCTCGGCTCGGCACAACTCCGCTAACTTTACTTTGTTTTCTTCATGAGAAGTAAGCAAAGTGTTTTGCCCGCCGCAGAAACCTCTGGGGGAAAAAAAAACAAAACTCTGCATTACCACTTTCTTGAGGCTCTTTTAGATGCAATCACCAGAAGGAAAATAGTTACAGATAAGAACAAGGCTGTGACTCTGAGATTGGATCTTTCCCAGCAAGGTGGGAGCCATTGGAGGACTGCCTTTCTGCTGCTGACCTCCAAAATGCTCCTTGTTTCCTGGGGGACTTTAATAGGAGCGACACTGATGCTTGCATGTCAAGTACTTGTGACTGTCTTTGAATTGTGGTTCCTTCCGGTCTGAACAATGAAAAAGTAAAAAATAGATTATGTTGAGCAAAAAGGCGAAATTATAAAAACAGCCAAATGTAACACAAATTGCAGAGCACTGGGTTATTTATTGCAGGCTGTGCACCTCAGTCTCCTTCTGGGAAAGTAGAAGACATGGTGCCCAGTTCATAGTGTATAAATTAGATCTTTGCTTTCATAATCAAACAATGAGCATAGAAATGTATTTTCTTCATATCTGTATTGTGTTTTGACTGCATACAGAAATAGGGATTGTTAAAAGTAATAATGACAAGGAATCAGGATGTCTGGCTAGGGGCTATATACCATGTGTTCAGCTGCAGCAGCCTTTCACGTTTGGACTCAACTGCAGTTAAGCAATGTAAATAAAGACTTTGAATTCAAGTTGTGATTGAGATTTCTGTCATTGTGCTGTCACTGGAAGATATCACTCAGCTTTAGCAGTTCTGTGACGCTTTCTGGATGAAACTGTACACTGTAAAGCTGGAGATCCTCAATGTTCTAAATCTTCAATACATGCAGCTGCTGGTGAGCAGGTGGTGCTTCTTTACACAAAGGGTGGTGGGAGCGTGGAACAGGGTGCGCAGTTGTACTGTTGATGGCCATACCCTGGCTTCTTTGAGGAAACATCTGGATCCTTGCATCAGTTAACTATTTCAAACCAAATGAGCTAGACAGGTCGAATTTCCCTTTCATTTGCTTTTTTGTTCTGATTTCGATTTTTCCATCCTGCAATGTTGCCTTTGTGCCTAGGTGGTTGACTGAAATCCACTCATAGGTACAGACTTGAAGAATGGAATTGGTTAGATTTTTTTTTTATTCAACATTTCATGCAACGATACTGCAAAATCTCTTTTCAGATCTATTTTGGCTGCTAGCTAATAACATAATTTCATATTGCAGCGGTTAAGACTGAGCAGGATGTTGCCCCCTCTGATTTACTTGTTGGGAAGACCCGGAGACGCCGCAACAAGCACCAGTCGGTCTGCCCAAGCACGCAAACACACCGTAATTTGTTGTGCCAACTTCATAACAAATTACCACACCATACCCATCATTTGAAGGTTTTGTAAATTGTTAATTCTGCGAAAGTATGCTAGGAATTTATTCTCATAATCACAACTGTCAGTCTGTGTATATTTGTATGTTCAGTTATACAGTAGTTTTTTATGCACGGATTACTTCATCAGCGGTTTCTATGTTGTCACACAAGCGCACTCGATTCTTTCCCGTTGAACGATCACAATGACGTAGTTGGTGTTCTGTATTGTTATTTATGAAATATGAATTTGGGGAAAAGACTGTGTGTTAACTGTAATAACTTTTATGACTGACCCGGTGTTTTAGTAATGCAGGTTTCTTGAGTCAAATTCTGTTTGTCTACGTTGTGACAAAATTATTTTTTTTTCAAGTTTGTAATACAGAATAAACGTCAAAAAGATTAACGATAATGGATCTGGGAATAACGCAAAACAAAAAAAAAAGGCCTTGTCATAAAACTGAATGGAATATCAAGTATTAAACACAGACGAATTGTGAAACTATATTCGCACCGCTCACACAAATTGTCAGACGGCATACGGCCAAGTACGCATCTATCATTTTTAGAGACAGAACAGGGGTAAACATTTAAAACTTCCCGTGACGTCGAGAAAGTTTGCTCCGTGGCTGTGCGTGACGGTGCGTTCGTAGTGCGGGTGGGGAGCACAACGGGTAAGTGCGTGGGAGAGAGTTTGTCTGCGTTGCGCCTTTAAGAGCTCCGTTTCCACCGCCGCGCCGTGTCCCTCAAACTTGGGAAGTCTGTGAGCACCGTGTGCCGCGGTGCTTCTGAAGGAAGTGACGGGATTGATTGAATGGGAGAGAGAGAGAGAGAGGAAAGTAAAGAGACAAAGCAGAGCCCGAAAAAAAAAAGTAAAGACGCGGGGAGTGTTGGAGAGAGCCGGAGAGACAGATGGGGGAGTTTTCAACCCGCAATCTCCTCTTTCCAGTCGCTGCGTTTGTGCACGAAGACGCGAAAAGCCGTCCGCGCTTCTGAAGTGGCTGCTCCAGTGCTGAGCAGAGATTTGCGATTTCCAGGACAGAGAAGCACACAAGGAGCGCAGTTCTCTGTTGCACGCAAACTAAACTTTTTTTTTTTTGGAGGAAGGGGAGAAAACGGAGACTTAAAATCCTCAGCATGATACCTTTACGGAGTTGCGTGGAAGGAGCGGCTCACGGCAAATTACCCCGCTACCCCAGCGGCGGTAGACATTGAAAACAGCTTCAACTTAATTAAAACCCCGCTTGAGTCCTATAAACTAGAGCGAGTGGGTTCACTTCACACAAACGGTGCAGAATTAAAAGTGAATTCTGGGGAGGATTTCGACTTGAGACGCTATTTTGTTTTTCTCCTCCCGGTCCGAGTTCGGTTTTGCCTGTTCTGGGATGTTGACTGTGTGGATCTTGCCGGTGTCGGTTCGGATTACTCGGGTTCTCGCTGCGTTGCTCCTCCTGTCATCGAGTGGGTTTAGCTCCGAGCTGAAGGTCCGAGTGCGCGTCGCCGATGGGCAGGTCGCAGAGGAGACCCTGGAAGCGGACAGCGAGAGGGATGTGATTACCGTGGAGTTCAGGCAGGGGGACGGTACTCTCATCACCTTCGTGGCCGATTTCAAACAGGTGAGGTAACCCTAGTGTGCGGTTCTGATTCTGGAGCGGTTCGGCAACCCGGTCATTTGAACGGGGGCGAAACGAAACTTTCTAACCTGAGAAGCCACATATTTGCTTTCGTTGTCTTCCCGGCAGGGCAAAAGACGACCCTGTAGCCTTCTGAGAAGAGGGTGCAGTGATTTCCAGCCCTTCCTATTTCATAAGCCCGACATTATTTCATCGCTCTCTGCTCAGCCTACCCTCCCCGCCAACCGCCAGGACTGTATATTTAGTGGTCAGCGGTTTTCTGTCAAAGGGTAAAACCCACAGCCGAATTACAAACATGCTTGTTGGCGAGGCGACAGATGTTCTGTGTGGGTGACCTTTAAAAACAAAACCATTTTTTTTCTTCTTTCCCTGTATGTCAGATTTGAAACGGAGAAGGTGGTAATGTCTCGTTTGTTTCTGGTCGTCTAATTACTCTTTTTTTCTTCTTGCCAGGGCTTACAGCCCGTGTTATCACTGGACTTATCACAAGTGTAAATCGCTAGACCACCGTAGATCTGAACCCTGCAGTTTCGTAGGCTGGATTTTGCAAAAACATTTAGTTGGACAAGGGAGTCGACCCTGTTGTGAAAATATTGTCCTCTGCCTTCTTACTGCTGCATAACACAGGTGGTCACCTCAGCAAGCATTTCTTGGTTGGCAGTGCTGCAGAAGTTTATTAACTTTACCTTACTGTGGAACAGGCTGTTTCTTTCAGTATTGTTGGTGTTGTTAAGCACTGATATAGTTCGTGTTTGAGGCCTGTTACAGCTTTTCTACTGATGGTTAACAAGTGGTAATTTATACGGGGATTAATATATGCTAGTTCAGGAGGGTAGCTGCGTCAGCATGCGTAGGCTGCAAAGGAACAAGTAATAGGTTTCTTCCATGCTGAAAAGAGAAGAAAGAAAATGCAACGTTTCAGGTGTCAGTGGCTCCACGTTCTTCACTTTTCAGCATCGAATAAACCTATTACTTGTTCCTTAATATGTGCTAGCAAGCTAACGTCTTTAAAAAGGGACTTTTGGTTTCGATATCACAGGTGAGATGTTGGGGGGTACCTGCCCTGTAAAAGGTACGAGCGCTCAGAGCTGGAATTGCCAGTGCAGGGTTAAAAACGGGGGCCGGCTCACTGAGGAAAAACAGTTGTTCTCTCGTGAGGCAGGGCGTCGAGGGATCCCGGGTGGGCCAATTCTGAACCGTTTCCGAATTCCAGACCGTGCCGGGGATTAACAGCTTAGCCGCATCTCCGCTCCAGCGCGGGTTTGGAGCGCAGGAGCGCCCGGGCTGGTTTCGAAGCAGCTGTGTCTGTCCCCCTCGCACGCTGCTGCTGCTGCTTCCTCGCACGGGGGGGAGAGGGCCACTTCTCGAGCACTGGTTTCCAGTTGAATGTCCTGCCGACCCCCAGGAAGAACAGAATCATCTCTCGAGTCTGTTGTTGTAGGGTCACGCCAAGGGGGACTGGCAGGCTGGGAAGGAAAGGCCTGTGGAGTCTTTTCTTAAGGGCCAGGGCTGTTGGTTTAGCAAATGGTGGCCACCGTGCAAGTCAGACTTTCCACGATGGCTGTGATCTGGGGCGAGCTGTTGGCACAGGCAAAGGAATTGGTCATCGGCAGATTTCTTGCCTTGAAACCCTTTGCCAAACACTGATAACCCTCCAAACATTATGTGATCGTGGTGGGGGAAAAAAAAAAAACAGTTCTTGGGGTTGCGGGATTTCTGAAAATAAGTATTGAAGTGGCAGAGGCAGGAATCCCACGGTCCATCTTAAATTCAGGCTCTTGACTGAACGCTGGGGAAGACCGAAGGGCCCTTGCTTGAAGAGACGCCGTCACAGGGTGTCTGCGCCTTAGTTACGAGCCCTGCGGGCAGCTCGTCTTCGAAGATGAGCAGTTAAAGCGTTTGGTTACCGCTTTGCTTCTCTTGAATGTTGGGAGTGTTTGAAACTGTGGGACGGTGGGTCTCGGGAGGTCTCCCAGCTGCGCCACACGGCGGAGGGGAGCACGTTCCCGTTCTCTGGTATCAGTCCCACTTGGAAGCGTGGCTCCGGGCCCGAATTTCCTCACCCATGCTTCTCCTCTCTTCCAGTTAGTGTTCACGCGGCATCTGGAAACTTGGATTAACCCTGACACTTAGGTGCCAGCAAGGGATTACAGAAAGGGTTGCCTTCCAGTAAAAAGTGTAATTGACCTGATGGTATGAAGGCAGTGAAGCAGGAACTAGTTTGAATAGTTTCTCTCTTAACCGCGTTTCCAAGCCTTGAGGACGAGCGCCCATGTCTTCGGCCTGCTGGGAAGACGCCTGCTTCTAAATGGGCTGAAATGAGGCAGCAGCGCGACTGAAGCCGATACCAGTTCTGAACCAGTTCTTACTTTGGCCGAATGAACTGTGGGTTGGTGCTCGCCTGTTGGCTCTGTGTGTTGTTTCTCGGGTGTGTTAGGTTTTCCACGCTCCGCAGAGGGAAAGCCCTGCTGGGGTGTGGTCTGTTCGGTCCCAGGGCTGAAAATGGAGGTTTAACCCAGATATGACAGCCAGTGGGGTGACACCAGGCTCGCCCTGCCCTCTCCCTGTCCCCCAGTCCCTGGGGTGAAGCCGCCCGAGAGCTGGAATTTGCCAAGTTTGTGAGCTCTTTGTCCCTTGTCCACGCACTTTGATTTATGGCCTATTCTGGTAAACATTTCATGGGCTCCATGCCAGACTCGGGGGGGTGGAGAGGAGCTGTTGACTCTTTCAGGAAAAACAGGAGATCGTGAAAAAAAACTTCTGAGGAGTTTGCTTTGGGAGGTCTTTGGCCTGCTGTAGGACCCAGCTGTCTCGGTGCCACTTCCTGTGGCCCCTCCTGAAGCCCTGGTTTGTCTGCGATGAAGGTGACTTGAGCCCAGGCTCAGATGAGGGTTATGAGGAAAGCAGAAAGGTTTGAAAAGTAAAGATTCGTGCCATCTCGGATACGCCCACCTCAGACGGGAATTGGACCGAACAGGTGGCTGCTCCTGTACTGTCCTGTCTGCTGCGCCTGCTGAAACAGGACTGAGGACCCTGGGAAAACTAGTCTTTAGCTGTAAAGCATTTAGTAAAATAATCAATAATCCCAATGGCCTTATAACTGTAAAACATCATCATTTTTTTTTACCTGCAATTGTTTATTTTTAGCCTACAGGCAATTGGACGTCCCATTTATCGGAACGGCAAGGCGGTTTGTTCGTTGTACACGCCCACTGTGGCCTCCGAGCGTGACCGCCCGCTTTTTCCAAGAGCCGGGAGTGTCTCTCCTGTGGGATATCGGTGAACAGGTTGGCTGCGGTCCATCCCTTCAGAGAAAAAACAAAATCTTTCTTCTGATGTTAACCTTGATGATCTTTTTTTTTAATATTTCTGGCCTCCCACACACTGCAAATTATTCATGTTTAACAGAATCTCAGATGGCTGTTCACTTTCTGAATGATTCATAGGCACTAGATTCTTATGCTTACTTCCTTGTCTCATGCAGTAAAAGCCACCTGATATTTCTTGCCACTGTGGCACTAAATTGCCGTTGTCTTTTAGATCACTATCGCCACATACACTTGCTGTAGGCCAGATAGTTAAGTATGAATTAGGTTAACCATCAAAATAAAATCCAGTGACACTGTTGTCCAAAGTCTACGTTCAGGTCAGAAATCCACAACTCGGACCTTCTTTGGCCGGTGTTAATTTATCGGAGATCTTAATGTTTTGGCTTTAAGAGAGGCAAGGTTAACACACCTGCAGTGTCTTCAGCACAGCAGACGGCTGAGTGTCCCGGGTCATGGGGTTTTGTTTCCTGAGCCATTTATCAGAGCCGCCCAGGTAACGTTACCGTTTTACAGAACAGAACATTGACACAATGACACTTTCTGTTCCGCTGCCTTTCCTAACGCAAATCGTCACAGTATCAGTCAGGAGAGTCTTAACATGAGTCTGTCCCAAACCGACTCACCGTTTCACATAGGATGGGCAGGGCCTGTCTTCACACGTAGCAGTTTGTAGAGGTTCTGCTGATGGGACGGCTGCTCAGAAATCCCTTTGGGGCTTTTGGCAGGGAGGGGAGGTTCCCAAAAACCACGCACAGCAAACCATCATAGCTCCCCGTACGATGAGGACTGCGTGTAATGCCAGATACCCCTGGCAGAGGGTTGTGCAATGTGGGTTATGACGCTGTGAAAGTGAGTTGCTTCAGTTGTGCTCTATCTGTTACGTTCCTTTGTGACGATCAGAAAATAAAAGTGGGTGTTCAAGTACTTTTTTTTATCCAGGGAGGGAATATAATAGGAACTCTCCTTGCCCACCCCAGCTAGGTGTCTTGTTAAGACCCCCAGAGGTTACGTCTTTTTTTGTACAAGAGCTTGCTCATTAGCGTTTTCCCTGTGCCAGTGTTGCGAATGACAATACACACTGTCGCCCCCAGCTATTGTGCTTCTGTACACTGGGAAAGAGGATTTAAAGTAAACAGTTCGTTTGCCCCTCTCGAGCTGCGCTCCTCCTGCTGTCCGCTGTCCGTTCTGTCACCCTCACCGGCTGTCTTTGTTTTAAGCTGCAAAGCTGGGTGCATGCTGTGGGCTCTCTGAGCGCAGCTCGCATGAAGAACCGGCTGCTCCCACGTCCTGGGCCCGTCTCCAGCGACGTGTGGGGAAGGAGGCGGCGGTGTTGCGCTTCGTGCTGTGGTGCCCAGTCGTGTCTCACGAGGTGTGTTTTCGCCAGTTGTCACTAACACACAGAGCTCTCTGTATGCGGCAGGTTGGGGCTCTTGTGAAGAAGAGCACTATCTTGGGTTTGGCCTAAATCTTTTGTGAGGCCCTGTGTTGTTTTCCTGTCAGTCCTTTGAGTCTCTGGTTCCAAGCTTGAAAAGCACTGAAAAATGGACGGGGCCCTTATCGGCCTTGATCCTTTTCGAGAGAATATCCGGAAAGAATGTCTCTCGCAGTTGCACGAAGGCTCCACTCGGGCTTTGTGTCTTTAATAAGAAACCG